CCATAATGGGTGGCAATCAATATTTTACCTTTTCAATGATGTTATCATTAATTAAAATATTACAAGATCATCTATTTGAAAATGAAGCGATACTTAAACATCCAATTGTTCGTGATGTAGTGATGAGATAGAGCTTTCATTTGGAAACCGTTGGGATGAGCCTGGAGTTGAAGGTTATATCGTTACTATTCTCGACCCGAGATTTAAGGACCTAAGCTTTGAGCCAGAAAAACTAGAACTAATAAAAAATAAATTAAAATGCAGGATGGAAGCTGCAAAAAATATAAACTCAACAATACCTTCAATTGAAAATAAAACATCTTCTTCTTTATTAAATTCATTATTTGAAAAAACTTTTCAAGAAGTTTGCCCTATTGAAAATGAACTAAAGATGTATTTAGACATGCCCCAGATGATAAAATACAACCATTCTGATCCTCTTTATAAAAAACATAACCTCTTAGTCTTTTGGCGAGATAATAAATTAACACTTCTCTTAATGGCACAACAAGCATGACAGTATTTGGCAATTCCAGAAACCTCAGTTTCCTCAGAGCATCTCTTCTCTGATGCCGGAAACGTCATAACTGATAAACGAAATCGTCTTCTTCCCAACACAGTTCATGATCTACTTTTTCTTAAAGAAAACTAGAATTGTTTTAATCTCTATCCTGATTTAAACTAGTATAAAAAAAAAGCTACCTTGATAGATTTGTTAACAGTGTGAGTAGAAGTAATGAGAATTCGTTTTTATACAAAAAAAAATAAAGTTAGATGAATGTTAAAAAAAAAATTATTAAATAAACGCTTATTAAATCTTACCTGATCTTGTAATTTCAACTTTTATTTTCGGTTTTTTCAATTATTTAAAGTATTTTTAATCCGGAGCAACTCTATTGCTGAGAATTTAATGTTTAGCGTTTAGAGTGTTAAATGGTGAGACTAGTCCGGTCTGATCCTAGTCTCTAAAAGTTGATCCTTAAAGAAATCCTTAAAGAAAATACAATACATTTTATTAGCTCGAGAAAAAAAAAAAAAAGAGTACCTGTTCTTTCTTAGAATTCTTAGAAGTTAAAACGAACATTACTCAATTAATTATTCACCATATTTCTTTTTAAATTTGGTGGCTATTTATATTGTATTTGCAGACCTATAGGACCGATTCAAATAAATTAAAGTTTGATAATCTAAGTATTTGCTATATAAATGAATGTATCTGGTTATGTGATTGAGACCTGATTAGGAAATTGGCTAAGCTGACTAAGCTGACCAAAATTTATCGGCTAAGCTTAGCCGATAAATTTTGATCGGCCACATTCACTAATTTAGCCAACAATCTTCTCACTTGGTACTATTAAGACCTATGGTTTACACACAACATATCTCAACATCAATAAGAACTTGCTTGAAACATAACTACTAAAACTAAACATACAAAAATTCACTTTTCAACAATATCTTCTTCTACTAACAACCTTCCAAAAACTACACAAACTTCTAATACTACAGTAGCAATTAACAAATGACTCTTACAAAGTTTTACTCTAACCACATGCTTTATATAATATCTTGACTTTTATCTAAGGTTTTCTCCAACCTATCCTAGCTAGAAAATAATTTGAAACAATTATCTATAGCATTTATTAGAAAATAGGAGGTATAATGTCACATTGGGTGTCTATTTTTTAGCAACACAAATGTAGTTTAGAAATCTTTATT